CGTTCGTGGAGGTCGGAGACGGCAAAGCGATGCTGAATGTCCGTGGAGCTAGAACCAGGACAGACTACCTGAAGGCGGTGCAAAAGTTCGTAAACAAGGAACTGAGCGCCGACAAGAAAAAGAAGGGCCAGCCGGCGCCAGGAGAGGACGTCGGCATGCCAGTGGCCGCAGTCGAGAAGATAGTGACGAGTGACGGTCCAGGGGGCGCGAAACGTCGGAACGAGCCGACAGAGGACACGACGCTGGAGACACGAGTCGCGGGAACCGTGACTGGAGAGTCGAGAGACGGCCGAAATTTTCGGTAAGGGCCCTCGTGATGGGGGTCGAGATTGACTTCCAGCAGGATACAGGCGCAGAGGTAAGCCTGCTGAGGAGAGAGGATTGCAGTCGCGCTGGCGTAAGAGTGTCGCAGCGCCGACAGCAAATAAGCACAGTGATGGATTCAGGATCACTACCCGTGACGGACCCAGTACCGGTAACCGTGCACGGCGAGACGGACGATGTAGAGTTCGCGGTGCATGACCAACCGTCGGTCCCGAACCTCCTGGGGAGGGTAGAATTGGAACGGTTTGGTTTGATTGAGAGAAGGTCCGGGAAGGCGTTGGTCCTGGCGGCGCAGTTGATGAGATACGGCTTGCGGGGAAGTACAAAGAGCAGCCACCAGTGTTAGAGGAGCAGTCGGAGGATCCCTTCGGGCGGCAGGTATTCGTGGAGGGCACGGGACACCTGGACCAGAGCCTGAGGGACGAGCTGTGGAATCTGTTGGTCGCATGCAGAGACGTATGGGAGAACCCAAAGGTGGCGTGCGTCAAGTACGAGGCGCCTTTCGAGGCGAGCGGCAAGCCGTACAAAGCGAGGTTGAGACATCTCGAGCCTGAGTTGCGGGCCGAGTTGGAGAAGCAAGTGGAGAAGCAGCTGAAGCTCGGAGTCATCCGTCCTTCGAAAAGCGAATGGGCCGCCGCGCCGCACTTCGTGAAGAAGAAGACGGGCGAGTGGAGGTGCGTTTTGGATTACCGGAGGGTGAACCAAGCATGACTGCCGACTCGTATCCGCTGCCCCGAATATGGGACCACTTGAGGGCCGCAGCAGGCCGTCAGCACTTCACGACTCTCGATATGAGCTCGGGATTCTGGAACGTGCCAATAGCGGAGGAGAGCAAGCACCTCACCGCGTTCAT